CTGCTTTTTTTCTGGACAAAAACTCCAGATGCTATCAACATATAGTTCCAAATCAGTAACTTCTATAATTGTTCCCAGTTAAAGTAAGAGAGAAGAAAAAGAAATAAACATACCTCCTCTGGTGGATCATAATATATGCCATTGTATGGGATTTCACCCGGTGCCTGTACTGAGAACTTGATCCAGGCAGGAATAGAATCTTTGATGCCAGATGGAGTATCCATGCGTATCTACAATTGTATGGTCAAATTAAGGTTTATGACTCAGATATGGAGTTTTAGATTCACAATATTTATATATTGGAATAATGTAGTTCAATGGCGACACTGCATGAACTCAAAGACCTTAATTAATATAGCTAGTATTTTTTACCAAGTCATAATGATTCCCAACTGCTAACATGAGATCTCATCATAATTCAATGCAAGAAGATAAAATGATGCCATATCATACATGATGTCTTCTTAGTAAGTGTGAAAAACATGTTGCAGAAAGTAGACTCGCCAACAACAACCCCTCTTTTTCCTCTTTGCACACATGCACAAACATCGCATATGATATTAAGTATACTTTAAAGGGAAAGAAGCACAAACATATTGGTTATGCTACATTGCAGTTATTTGAAGTACTTAACCGGAGAGAAACACTAGGTTTTAACACAAGTACAGCCAGTTCTGTTGTTGAGATAGAGAATAGCTAATAAAGATGTAACTCTAACAAATATCCAGAGAAAATAGGGCTTTGTTAATTTTCTCTTGCATAATTTTGCACCATCCTTCTCTTTGTAATTTCCCTCCTTATCTTATAAGAAATTTTTTCATTTATAGATATTTAATAAAAAAAAACACCAACAATCTCGGATGGACATTTCCAGTTTGAACCCATGGCCTATGCCAGATATGTTGATGGGTATCAACACGTTTCAGGGCAAGCAGTTCAGCAACAGATAATTTAAGGAGAATTTTGTCACCCAGCAAAGAAGGTATAATGTTAATTTCATGCAAGATGAGCACTTATTCATTATCCTATCAATAAGAGCATCATATCTTTTTACAGATTCAGATATTAGCATTATTTGTTGTATTGTAGGTAATGCAGATAAAAGACAAAATTTCACTCTTAACATCTGTCAAAGTTGCTTGATTTCACAAGATATTCACTAACTATATACAACCTCCTCTTTTTCTTGATATTCTTTTCCAGCAAGTTCAACAAAACAACTAAAAAGTAACAACCTTCCTAGAAGCTACTATTTATCAATATTTGAATACATCTTCAGACTTGAAGGACAGAGAAGCCAGATTATTTTATTTGCTTGAAAAGGGGAAAAGTAGATACAGGAGAAGAATTGATAAGCAGTGAGAGTCAAATTTAAAGTATAAAAGTTACACTCTGTATAGTAAGATTCCAAAGTTCATTCTTGAGAAATATTACCTTCACTCGAGAACCATGTGGAATTGGTGGTGAACCATCTACATTATTTGGCAAAAAGATCTCCCAAACACCAAATTCATTCTGCATAGGTAGGCGAGGAATTTGCACATTATAGGGGATCTAAAAGAAAGAGAATTGAAATGTAGCAAGTAAATAGTAGATCATTATAGAAACATATTATTGATGAAACTTGGACGCGGTTTTTGACATTGTTCTTGATATGATCAATGCTCTTACTCCATTCACCTCTTTCCCCCCCCCCCCCCTTGTTCTTTGATATGATCAAGCTTCTTATTACTCCATTCACCTCTTTCCCCCCCCACCCCGCCCCCCCCCCCCAAACCACCACACCCCAATCCAAAACCCACCATCACCACCCTGAAACCCACCCCACCCAACCCAAACCCCCCCCCCCCCCCAAAAAAAAAAAAAAAAAAGAAAAAAGGAGAGAGAATGAAGAAGGGAGGAAGAGAGAGAACTGTGTCTAAACCTAAACCCATATGGCAAGGCAGCGGTGATCAAACAATGAGCTAATTCTCCTTTCCCACTGTGCAAACTTGTATAAAAAAAAAAAAATAGCATATATGAACCAAGCAAAATCGCAGAACTTGAGCCCAGGATATTAATTTTAAACTAGGAAGGGCCAAAATGCAGAATGTAATATATTGACCTGGAAAATGCTTGTTGATAATTTGAGGAGAGAGAGAGAGAGAGAGAGAGAGAGAACTGTGTCTAAACCTAACCATATGGCAAGCAGGTGATCAAACAATGCTAATTCTCCTTTCCCATGTGCAACTTGTATAAAAAAAAAAAACAATAGCATATATGAACAAGCAAAATCGCAGAACTTGAGCCAGATATAATTTAAACTAGAAGTGCCAAATGCAGAATGTAATATAATTGACCTGGAAAATGCTTGTTGATAATTGATCCTTATTCAACCATTTGAAAATAAAAATATAGTTCCATCAAAAAATCCAAGACTGTTTGGCCAAACAAACAAATTACTGAAGAGAAATATTTTCTAATTCAACAGAGGAGGACAGGGGATATGAACCCTTAACTTCCTGTACTAGCAACAAAAGAGTTTAATTATAGTATTTCTTAGCTGGCAATCTCCTCCATGAAGCTTTTTTATTAGTTATTATTAAAATACTTGTCATAGAAACAAGTCTTCCTAGTTCCATGTCTAGATTGAGTCTTATCAACATACAGTGTTCAGTTTTCAAAAAAAAAAAAATATTTATCATTTGGGAACACAGATAATTGAATCAATTAAGGAGGAAAAGGTAAAGGGCATTGCAAGTAAAATATAAGTGAGAACAGAAAGAACTTTTTAATATAAAAAAAGATGAAAGAAGGGAGACCAAAATTTCCAACAATAACTATATGTGGAATCAGTTCAACTAAGGGGAAAAGGTTTATTGCAAAACTCAACCAAGCCATGCAGGAGCATACCCGAGTCATAACATCGGCATTGGCATTCCAGTTGTTAAAATCTCCAATCAAAGCAGCCGACTGAAACCAATATAAATATACAATATATTAGAAAAACAGAAAAGGACAAGCATCTTTCTCATTATCAGCTGACAAAACAAAAATACATTTTTTCTTGTGACACAAATGATGAACCACAAAAAAAAAAAAAAGCATCCCCGTGAATAAATTAATGGAGAGTTATACAATCAGACTACTAAACATGTGCATTTGTTTTGTAATACAGGTACCACAACCAAATAGATGGGGTTTCAAGCCGAAACCTCAACTCAAATGTCACCATACTGAGATTATACAGTCCTAAGAATATCATAATTCTGGAAGCGCGTATACTGAATGCTTAAAATCGCAAAATAGAAAGAAATGGTAAGAACAAACCTTAGCTCCCGGTGCCCACTCCCTATAAGTTATTCCTGTTTCACTGAATGCAGAAGTTATAATCAGCACGCGACAAGAATTAACTCAGGGTAACTTGATTGATAGAATGAATTCAGTAGAATTTCAAAGTTATTGTTTATTGTTTATTTTTGGTTTAAATGCATATAACTGAAGTAACATCCATGAAGTGAACATATCCAAGGTTTCAGTCACGCGCAAAAAATCCATAAACAATTGCCACAGAAAAGTAGGTGAAAGTATTCAATTCCTATGGGGCTAAGACCATCTATTTCATAGGCCACCAGAACACAAAGTACATTATTTTCACCAATCTTAGTTGAACCAATGAAGTGCAAACTAATCTGCCTAATCAAAGTCATGACTGTAGGTAGAAGGATCTGTCCCTTCCAAAATCACTGGAATAGAACACACTATTAAATCCTTTAACAAAATAAGATGAGAGAAAACTCTAGTCATTTCACCCGAAAAAAAAACTCAAATTTCAATCGTAAGTAACAAACAGAAAAACTAAAATTTGGTAACCAGTAAAGTTGGAAAAAATCAGCTCAAGAAGAATTATTTCACAACAGTCAGGATTACATTATGAACTGATAAGGTTTTCTATCAATATTTCTACGCAACATCATCAAAATCGCGATTCAACTCGTAAAATTTGTATGAGTTTACAATTTTAATACAGAAGAACGTGTCAACTTGCACAAAGAATCGTAATTTCATAAAATCATGGTAAAATCGAAATAAAATCATTAAAATTGTTAAAATTAGATAGATTTTACCTTGGCACTAAAATTGACTAAATGGGCTGATCTTTATCAATATTTCTGCAATTTAAAACCCATATAAAAGCCCCTAAAGCATCAGCCAAAAAACAATATCTTGTAATGGAATTAGGGAGTCCAACTTGAACAATTTTATTTCTTTTTGTAATGAATATCTCTAGATTTTAATTTTAGTCTATTGTAATTTATATTTTCCATTATATTTGATTTTTTGAACTTGGTTTATTAGATTAGGGTGAATGAGCAAATATTACTATAGCTAATATGCATTGTATTTTTGAAGTGTGGGTTGTGCATATGTTCGTGAAGCTGTTCTATTTTAGATGGTTTGCAAAATTTTACTGCAGTTTGAAAAATTTTATGGTTTTACTATTCGATTTTGTGGGTTGTCCACTAATTCTAATTAAAAAGCCTATTTTGATAACCTTGTTTCTACCGAATAATTTTCTCAAGTCTCATCACAATAATGACACTTCTGTGGAACATATTATATTTAAACATAGAACATTCTATGCCTTTTTTATATATAAAGTAATTCTTTATATTTTCCACTGCTGTTCACATCAGAGGTTTTTTCAATATTTTTCAAATTACAGTTCAATGAGATGAAAAACAATGATATAAAAAATTATGGATTAAATTAGATATCAAAAAATATAGATCGAAGTAAATAAAAGATGGACATATAGAAGCTAAAATATTGATATGGAAAAGGTAAGAAAAATTAAATCTGCAGGGATCAGAAAAATATTAATACCTGCGTGTGAAACCAAACTTTTCATAGCCACGAGAAAATGCATCCAAGCCACCTTCATACTTGTCAATTTCTGCACGCAGTCTTTTGTACTGGGAAAAACTGTAATTGGAGAAGAAATTAGACTAAATACAGGAAAAAAAAAAAAAAATTGGGATCCATTATATGGATCATTTTCCTCTATTCCACTCTATTTAGAGCTACATCTTAGAAAAGATATAGGGGTGCTAAATCATTTTCTACTACTCCTCACATTGCCCTAACTCTGCCTTTCACTTTCTTTTCCAACTTCAATATGCTCCGCCCTCCATACCACTATAATATCTGAACTATCGCAATTTAAAACAAACTCAGACAAGAAGCAGTATATAAATGAACAAAAAAGGCACATAAATAAGAGATATGTAGTCTAATAAGAGGATAACTAAGCACTATTGCAGCACATTATTCATTCTAGAAAGAATTTTAAATAACACATCAACCTTAGATTTAGACAATCATACTAAAAAAAAACTCTGTTGAACTGCACAAATAAAATGAGAAATCATATTTTAGATCCCTCTTTCATGGAAAATTTAAATTTCCTTGGTTTTCAGCTGGGTAATTTTGATGATTTTAAGCAAGCAGTATGATTCTTTTACCAACTATTTCAGATAAAATATTTCAAAGAAGTAGGTGGGGATGGTGTCAAAGTTTTCCTTTGTAGAGACATGATTATTTTCTGTTTAGTTATACTATTTGAAGTGGAAAAAAATCAAATAAAGATAACTTCAAATGAAACGTAAGCAAAAGCAAGGCAGAAGGATATGAGGTACTAGCATGCTATGCCACATGCAATTACAATCTTCAATTATTTGATAAAAATTGAGACTATAAAATTACAGAATAGTGTTAAAACTGCTCAAAAATAAACATAATTTATGAAATTAAATAATGTGACATCTTTTAGTATTGTTCTTTACAGAATCATTGCAAACATGCATTGTAAATGAGGAGAAAAGAGTTTTGTAATTGCGAAGGACCACTCAAAAATATTAGTAAGTGAAGGCATAACTCACCGATAATCAAGATGCTGACGGAAACCTGTCAAGCTTGGATCTATTTCATATATTCTTTTCCCTGTGCCAGGTGGAGGAATCGACCTTGTCTTAGATTCACTTTTTCCAATGCCAGATGTTGTAATGGACCTTGATTCAGATTCACCTTTTTCAGAGCTAACTGCCTCATGCAAAGGAATAGATGCCTCCTGTGTTACTTTATCCTCAACATTCTTGTCATTTTCCATCTCGAGATTCACTGCATTACTAACCACCTAACAGAAGCATCACAAAGGTCTAAGCATCTAAGGAATTAAGTTGGAATTATGATGTCATACACTTGTAACTATATCAGGGTAAATAAAGAAAATTGAAGATATCAGACTAAATTCTGACTACGCTAGTTAGTCAACTCAAATAGACTGTGTTAAATGTCTAAGAAAACACCAAATGCGACTGCACATGACTTTAGCCTTTAGTTAAGCCCATAAAACAATTCAGTCAAAAAAATATGTTCTATCAACCATCATGAAAATAGAATTCAGGTAGATCAATGATCTTATGATGTTTGGTCCATCCAGAAGGGATCGTGTAATATGTTTCAAAAATAACAGTTGTTTCCATATAAGATCCTTTTGCCTGCTTCTTACAAAGTCCATGTTTTTGCCACTGCCTTTTAACAACATGAGGTTTTGTGGCAAGACCTTTTCAGACATTTAAAATATCACAAGGTCCAATCAGACAGAAGTTATTACACCATGTTCGAAAACAAAATAGGAAAGCGTGGGGGAAAATACAGAGAAATCAATTTGACCTATTTGGAAAGTAAATAGAGATTTGGGAATAAAGAAATTATGAATTATATAAAAATTAGAATTAAATGCTCTATATGTTCTGTGAGATAAAAATGCATAGCTGAAGAGAAAATAAGCCATTTCTCACATACTCTTTCCAAATTTGGGAATACATTTTTTGTCACGCCCTGACTCCAATCACTAGAGAAATTATCCCTCTAAAGCAAGCCAATTCCACCCCACCTTGGATTTGGACAGGATCCTTTTGTCTGTGGAATGGATAACTTCCTAAAAGGTCACCCATCCTAAGATTTCCCTCAAGTGAATATGCTTAATCCCGGAGTTCTTTCAACTCTCCAGGCCATTTCATCAAAAGGCGCATCTAGTGATTAGTTTTCTCTGCTTCAACATATGATTTGATTCATTTTTGTGCCCCACATTCCACTATCTTAGCTAATCTGTCATCCTAGAAGCTTGCCAAAAGCTTTGCTATACCCGACCTCTTCAGTCCGCTTTGCCAGGTCGGATCGTCACATTTTGTGTGTCCCTCCAACTACTTTCTACACTATTGCCCTTTCTCTCACTTTTGCTCATCCCTCAAACAATGGAATCACATACATTCCTCAATTTCCTTATCTTTTTACTTTATAACCTTTTTTTTTTCAATCTATTCAGATATATATCAAGGATTGCACATTCTCTCAGTTGCAAAACATATTCTAGAAAAGAGTTGAACGCAAGTTTTCACAACATTATTCAATGTTCTTTTAGTCTTGTATAAAAACTGCAATCTTTTTTTTTTCCCACAATACATACCCCTACTCACAAAAGCATTTATAGTTTTTATTCCCCATATCTCCACCGAAGCATGTGAAGCTCTAATTTAAATGCCATTCAAGCTAAAAGTATAATACATATTGACAATCAACTCTACATGTGCCTTACGTAATCACACAGATTCACAAACCTGAGATTCTTCAGCAACTGCACCAAGTGTTTCTAACTGATCTTTCGAAGTAGAAGAGTTATCAATATGACCACCTGGAACAAGGACTTTACTAGAAGCTGTGACTGCTAAATTTGAGGAGTCAGAATCATAAGAGGACTTTCCAGCAAAGATCTTCCCTACAAACAAACAGCAAATTACTTCTGCAGATACAATGAAATAACTCATAAAAAAAGAGTAAGAACTGTTTTCCTCTTGGTTTGGAGAGGTGGGGACGATGATGTTTCAATCACAGATACTGCTAACTTAGTGAGCTATTGGCTAAACGGCAAATTTAGAATATTTGTTTCTCAAATTAATCAAGAAAATCACATAACCAGTAAAGGTCTCATCTTAACCCAAAACAAACAACAAAATAAGTGCTTCCTAGTTCCTACACGCTGTACTAAAAAGTATTGCCAAGAATTCAGTTCCACGGTCAATTTCCTAAGATCTCCCCTTGCACCAAATAAGGTAGAAGACTCTAATCCAGCAGGGGTTCTCCGTCACAACCGCATGAAGCCACATGAGCTGAAATAAATTTTAGAATAAACTATACTATAACATGAGAGTTACCATACTCCAAAAATCAAAATTTAAACTTTTCTGATCCAATTACAATGCCTTTATGAAAATTCTAAAAATCAATTATTCCTGAGTCTATAATCACTATAATCACAAAAAGAAAAAAAAAGTTCAAAAACTGACAGAATGATTCAAGCAGGTATAAATATATTGATTATTAATGGAAAACAGCACTACTCTCATAAAAGCTAGTTCCAGTACACACAACATTTTAGTTACAATCCTGTAGCATGTAAATTAAAATCCAAACTGATAGCTATTCACCAAAAAAAAAAAAAAAAAAAAAAATCAAAAACTGGACAGAATGATTCAAGGCAGGTGATTAAATATATTGATTATTTAATGGGGAAAACAGCACACTCTCATAAAAAGGCTAGTTCCAGTACACCCACAAACATTTTAGTTACAATCCTGTTATGCATGTAATTTAAAAATCCAAAACTGATACTATTCACCAAAAAAAAAAAAAAAAAAAAATTCAATCAAAAACAGGAGGATCAAAAAAAAAAAAAAAAAAAAAAATCAATCAAACAGAGATCGAGCACAAAAGAAGTATGAACATCAAAAACGAATAAGAACAGAGAACGAAATAATTATACGAGAAAATGGCTCCTTGTTCAACAAGAAGGAAAGTCCAGAGCTCCTTCGATCACCATGGAAGCCAATGAACTGAGATTTGTGAACTGATGGTACACATGGAGAATGTATTCCAATTCCCGATATAGTATAATACACCATTTCTCGTCTAACAGAGGGAGAGAAAGAAAGGCAATGAGAAAAGACGTAACTGAAATTCTGAAGAGAATAGAAGAGAAGAGAAAGATCTCAACTGATATATAGAGAGTGGTGAGTTCAAAAAGAGCAGCGAGATATGCGTGAGGCAGGCAAGCATAGAAAGATTTCTGATTTGGAGTGTGGGCGCTTTTAGCGGCCAAGGCCCAAGGAGGCAGTGGGTGCGACGTGTGAAGTACAGAGATGCATGGGAATGGGGTTAGTAGGACCCATCAGATTTATTTTCCACCGTTAATCTGATAGAGATATTTTATTTTATTGGTTTTTGATTTGATTTCCGAGACATTATACCAGTACACCAGTCAGGAAATACAATGGACTGGGCCACGTGGGCTTTGTCTTTTTGCATCGGAAAATACAGATTAGAAATGAAAGGTGAGGCTTATGTTGGCCCTACTGCGCCTTTTTCACCTGAGTAGACAGGAAAGGCCCTTTTGGTAATCTTTTGCAATTTAATGTTAAGATTTTTCTCTTTTTTTGGTGGTATATTTTTTTATGTCCGACTAAAGATTCCTATTTAATCACTATGGTTCAATTTTAGAATTGTTATTTATGATGAAGCCCAATTTAGGTGGTGGTTGTTGGTAAAGAGGAAATTAGGGGATGTTTGGTTCTAACTTTTAACTTGAAGTCTTTCTATAATTTATATCTATATCTATAATCCAACTATGATTTATAATCTATTTATAATTTATATTTATTGTGTATAATATATATAAATGAGAGATAATTTATATTTATTTTATAGTATATAAATGAGAGAATGAAGAGGGATTAATGAAATTTTCAAATTTCTTCTTAGGGTCTATTCTATCAAATTAAATGTTTTGATAGCTGTTAGTTATTTTAGTAGCGTTTAGCTATTAACTGTTTGAGCAGCTTTTCATGAAAGCTAAAAGTTAAATGTTAAATGAGTTAACTTTTCATAAAACACTCTCGTAACCTCTAAAAATTAGTCCAGACATTATGTTATCGAACAATTTTTCAAATAGTTTTTAACGTTTTGACAAAAGTTACTTAAAAAGTTGTGAACACAGCCTTAGTGATATTAAAAATCTATGGAATACTGGGTTCATAAAACGTTCTTACTAAATTTATGGACTCACAAAAATATTTTTGAGGACTTTAATTTTATTTATTGAAAAATAAAGATAGTTTAATTTTGATTAATTATATTAATGTGTTATTTGAATCTAAATTCTATTAGGAAGTTTTATCTAATTCTAATATTATCGGTTGAAAAATAAAGGTAATTTTTTGAGAAAAAATCAAATTAGAAATTTTATGAAGAGAAACTGTATAAATATATGAGATATTGATCAATATATTTCTATATTTTTGTTTAGTAAGTTTCATAATAAATAACTTATACAAAAAATAAAAAAAATACAATCTTCATTTAAAATATCTGATCGAGTTGACAGAGCATAATATTTGTGTGATAAGTGATCACTTACTCTACTTGGTGGCTATTCATGACCACTCTTCGACTCCACGATCTTTCTACGAATATGATCTGATCAATTTCAAATTTATTTCTTCTATTGTAAAGAAGATTTGCACTTCTTTTTATATAACTGTAACAAACTACTTTAAATAAAATCACCATAATACTGACAACAATAACTCAAAACTAGATCTGAGAATAAAATCCTAAGATATGAGAATATTTGGGCAACAATAACTCGAATCTGTATAAAAAAAAATACAAAGTGAGGATTATTTTAAAAAACAAACAAAAAAACTATAGAGTTTTTTCATTAATACAATAAATTTATTATGTGATTTTTAATTATTGAATTCAATTAACACATACAAGTAATTAACATTTGCAAAATTTGCTACCTACATCCATATATATATATATAAAAGCAATCATTTTCTCTTAAAAAGTTGATACGTGGCTTTTTTTAAAATTGGCCTCCACTTAGTATGTATTATAATTAATTAATTAAATGCAAAATCATAAATATCAAGACATAATAATCAATAATATATGAAACAATCTTCATTTGACTAAATCTCAATCAAAAAATTTTCACTAAATGAAAGGCCATCAAATCACAAATTTTTATTTCACTACATGAATAAATAGAATATTATTAAAAATGGTTTAATATTATAATTAAAATTTATAAAATATTATATATATTTATTAAATTGAATTTGAAAATTGCAATTTTAAAATTATTTATATATAAATCAATTATATAAATATTAAAAATATTTTTAATATTATAATTAAAATTTATAAAAATATTATATATATTTTATTAAATTGAATTTGAAAAATTGCAATTTAAAATATTTATATATAAAATTCAATATATAAATTATTAAAAAATATTTAATAAAAATGAGACATTAAAAATTAAAAAAACTAAAATTTATTAGATATATTTATTTAATATTTATTTATACCACTGATATTTCATTTTTTCCTTTATGAATTGTTTCTATTAATTGTTCAGGTACATTGGTAACTGTTAATTTCCAATTAAATTTCTCATTAAAATAATTTTAATAAAAATTGAGACATAAAAATTTAAAAAACTAAATATTTATTAGAATATTATTTATTAATATTTATTTATACACTTGATATTTCATTTTCCTTTATGAATTGTTTATTAATTGTCAGGTACATGGTAACTGTTAATTCCAATTAATTCTCATTAAAATATTTTATTATTATAATTATTAATTGTCATCTATTATTTCTATCATGATGTTCTTATCATTTAAAATAAAAAAGTTTAATATTATAAATTTGAATTTTACAAGTTTTAAAATTATTTGCTTACAAATAAATTACATGAATATTAGAAAATATTTTAATAAAAAGTGAAATATTAAAATTAAAATTAAATGTTAAAAATTAATTTATACCATATATAAATGTGAGAATAGGTGAAATGACCCAAAAATTTAATTTCATAGATTTTTCATTAAAAAATTAATTTTTAATTTCAACCAATGGGATTATATAATGAAAATTAAAATAAAATATTTTATTATTGCTAATATAAACCAGTTTCTTCAAACCGGACGAAAATCTATAAATCAAGTAAAAACCAGACTAAACCGCTGAGTTGGACAGAATCCAGTTCGAGTCGAACCGAAATGACCTAGAAAACTAGGAATTTCTTTTTCTTTCTTTTCTTTTCTTCTTCTTTTCTTTTCCTCTTCGTTTCAATGGCACTCAACCTCTTCTTCTCTCTCTCTTCGTTTTTCCAGTCAACTTCGGACCTCCTTCATGCCGCCACCACTTCTCAGCTTCTCCCTCATATTTGTTTTTGTTTCCGGTGAACGCAGCAAGCAGAGAAGCTGCGATCTTGTCTACGATCGGACAGCCCCACCTCCAAAGCTCTCCTTCATTTTGTAGGCGATTTCACACCGTTTTCGATGGTTCCAGCGTTGAGAATAGGCATCAATCGATTTCTTTCCTGCCTGTTAACATTTACCCTTGGAAATCACGAGGCTCATGGCCAATTTGTGAAACCACTATGAATAGCGACTTTAAGCTCCTGTCGAGCCCGTTCCGGCCAATTAAAGGACTGATCTCACCTAACAAATATCATAAATGAATTCCTCAATGAAATTCGAGTCAAGTGGTGTGAAGAGCACTCAATTCTAAGTAGCCGCGACTTTCTGGCCACCGTAGACGGCGGCGGTCCGGGCCCGCCAGCGAGGCCCAGACAGAAACGTGGAATTTTCTGAATCCGAAATTTGATTAAATCGATATATTTTAAGATTTAGTTTATTAAATCCAATTTGAATTTTAAGTTAGAAATTATTGTTAGTGAATTAAATTAATTTTAATTAAAATTAATTAAGTTAGTTGCATGAGATTAACAGAATAATTAATTTTCAATAATCAGTAAAAATTAACAAATTATGTATTGCTATTTAGAGACGAAAAGAATTTTTAAACTACGAGAAATTGAAATTTGAGATAGTTAAATCAGAATAAATATCGATTGTGAAATTATTAAAATTGGCGGATGGAAAATTATTGTTTCTAGTTGCCCACAAATTGGGTTGTATTCGTGTTGTTTTATTTTACATTCCTAACAAGGAGAAATTAGTTCTTTAACTTAATTTAAACTAATAACTATTAAGGATTATAAACCAAATAAGAAAATGAAGTAAGTATTTAGTATTTTACGAATTGTTTTGGAGATAAAAAGTAATTTAAGTAAAAAGAAACTTTATTGCTAAAATGGTATTATTTACCTTGAAATTAGGGTTATGTTATGTTAAGTAAGATGGTGGTGAATTAGGTTATTTAACGAATATTATAACGGAAGTATTAATTTTAGTAGCTAATCCCATATTTGATTAAAGGATAATATATTTCGAGTAAAGTTAATTAAATAAACGATTATTTATATTATGTACATAAGAGATTTATTTGTATAATGACCGGTTAAGAAAGTAAATCATATTGAGGTAAAATAGAAATATATGAAGATTTATCTGGATTAGATTAAAGATTTATTTTAATCTATAAGCTAAGAGTTAAACGTAAAATTGTTACTTGTAGTAATTGGATTTGAATTAATTGATTGTCCGATGGATGAGCTGTGAGAGTAATAATCGATAAATATATTACCTGGTTAATACTTGAACAAGTGGAAAGTCCTATTATTGGGGAAATGATGTCGGATATATCGAAAAGATTTAGATTCATCCAAGTTCGTCTATCACTCCTGCTAGTCAAAATCCAAATTAAAGCTTGCTCTTTCTATAATTACTGTGAGTAATAATAAATAGTGTATACCGTCATCTGCATACATGTATCAACCATGTTATATAATAAAACACATACATAATACTCAGCCTTTATTCATTTATTAATATCATCTTAAGTAATATAACTACTCATTTCATTATCTACTTTATAAATTTTAATACTATATACGACTATTAAGCAATTATATGCATTATAGTAATATCATTAATCATGAGTATTACATATTAATCTATCATGATCATATTTAAATGTTACATATTGATTATCGGCATTATCTATTATATTGAATGAATTGATTGGATTACTTGTCATGTGATAATATTGTGTCATGTTTGCTTGTGGAATTAAGATGGAGTGTGTCACCATGGGATTGTGAGGACGATCTCAGATACCGTCGGCCATATAGGGAGATCAGCGCCTATGTGCATTT